GTGAAAAAAAAATTTTCAGCAGCCGCAATCCGCAGTCCGCAATTTTTATTTTAAAATCCGCAGCCGCAATCCGCAGTCCGCAAGTCCAAAAAGCGCAATTCCACGCAATCCGCAGTCCGCAATCCGCAGTTGCGTCCAGCCCTGATACCAATATTTCTATGACTTTCCCAGTCCGATCTTGAATTCAAAAATCCACATAACCCACCCTATTTCCTTCCTCCACTTTAATAGGTTTAATCTTTCCATTATGTTGATTAGACGATTCTTTATTTTCCTCATCCTGATCATAACTTAGTAGTGTTCTTGGAGTCCAATCTGCAGTTAATATACGTCTTCCAGTTGTTGGAAGAGGTTTGGGTTGTTGAGCAGAAGATTGCCTATTATTTTAAATTTCTTTAGAATACCAAAAAATATGTAAGATGAAAGGGCAAACTGATAAAGGAATATTTAGTCAATTAATTTGATGGGGTTGCTGTCCGGATACTGGTAATCTTCCAGAGACCGCCTACATAGTTATATGGTCAACACAAATACTTTTAGGACTGAACATCCATTGAGTGATTACCATAATTTCCTAGAATTTCCGAGAGATACTCGAGACAATCAGTCATTGAGTGACTCAGTTACCATGGGACTCGGCTCGTTCTAACTGAACCTCTTATTTGATCTTGCCCCGCCTAATTACTACTACCTCAATTGACTTCCATTTTGCTTTGCTTGATTTCCATTAACTGGTTTTATAGGCACTTGAGAGACATTCAGATCAGGAGATGAATTAACTCTCGATGACTTTTTGAGTTGTTGTTTTTGAGGTTTTGGTTTTTTCATTTTCTTTCCCAAAATTTTAGTTTTTTGTGTCTTTATTCCCGGTTTTGTCTCATTTTTATTAAATCTATTTCCCTCCAAAATCTCTTCCTTTTCCTTTTTATCTTTTTCTGTCTCCTCTTTTACTGTACTATTTAACTGCCCTCCAACATCTCCAAACAACTTTTCGTCCAATTTGTTTAGTTCTTCTGCTAATTCCGCCAAAGTTAATTTTAGTGATTGTTTGGGTTGTTTGTCTTTCTTTTTTTGTTTTTCCTGGGTCTTCTTTTTCTTTGTCTTTTTGGAGTGTAATGTATTTGGGGTGGAAGTTACTGATGTTGTGTCTGTACTATCTGAAAATAAATTTCTTGTTAGTTTCAAAAATGTAATGTTTATGACTTTATCTTAAGTCTAAGGTAAGAATATACTCCCTAGTAGGGTTGTTCCCCGACGTGGGGAGGAGGGGGGGGGGGGACGGGGAACAACACTACCTTGTCTTATTCATTCACAGATTTCCGGAATCGAGAAAACCCTCAAACAACGTAGGGAATTCCCGATTTTAGCAAATCTCTTATCCCTATCTATTCAAGTCTCATATAGAGCTTTCCCAAGCTTTTTTAACATCTACCATTTATTTCTTTATCATTAACAGTAGTAGGGTGTTCCTCATCAATCACAGTACTTGCTGTCTCTTCAATTTTCTTTTCACCAGTTTCTTCGATATTGCCTGAAATTATCTTCTTGGCAAAATCTTCTTCATGTTTCAGTTCTTCCAATTCTGTTTGGATTATTCCAATATTTTCTCTTGTTTTGTTGTTGTCCTCAGTGTTGCTGTTTTGGTCAACAGTTGTTTGGCTGTTCGTATCGCTTTGTTTATTGTCTTCTTAATATAAAGGATTAAATTTCTTCCTTTGTACTTAGTATTCTATGTTTTTACCCCTCTCCAACGGATTTGGGGAATATTAGAATCTCCTGATTATGCTCTAGATCCGAAGAGACCGGAGGGGTGTAAGGGTGGTAAGACAAGTTTGGATGGGTGTAAAATCATGCTCGATACCCGGGATTTTTTTCGAGATAACGTCCAATTCTGATCCCTATTTTCCAGATTTTTCCTCAAAACTGTAATTATTTCTTTTCAAATAGGAGAGTTCTTCTTAATTACTCTGTGATAATAAATATCATTTCCATATTATAAAAGTAAAGTGTCATCCAATACCGTAAATTCACTATAACAGAGCCCATCTAGAAGTGAACTTCAATGAATTAATTTGAGTCTTTGTTTTATATAATTTACGGTATTATCCGATTTTTAATGAGATTATGTCTTCAAATCCCTCAAGTTTGAATCACTAAAGAAAACGATCCCGATATATAAAATTAATTTTTACCAAATAAATTACTTAACAGGATTTCACCTTTATTTAATTGTTCAAGAGTTTTGTTCCTTCTAATTCCAACAGAATCCAAATTCAATTCTGCCCCATCCAAAAATGTTGGAGTTCCAGCAATTTTATTTCCATCTTTTTTCTTTCCTCCTTTCCTTCTCCCTTCTTTTTTGGATTTTAGCCACCTAAGTTTAGCCAAATATTGGCGTTTTAGAGCTTCATATCTTTGCCTAATCTGCCTTAATTGTGTACTTAGAGCTGTAAATTGGGCTGTTTTGAAGTCTTCAAGTTGTGTCTTTTTGTTATTTTCCTCGGCAGGAATTTCGGGATTTGATGAAGGTTCAAATGTTTTTGAGGCGTGAATGATTGAATTGTTCTGAATAAAAAAGTATTTTCTTGATGAGTATTATAGTGGACTTAATGGATTTAGTGGATGTTGGGCTAATGACTTATAGGGAATGGAAATATGGGATAGAATGGAAATTGGGCAGAGATACTCCATGAGAATGGAGTAAATCTCTAAATTTTGGATTAAGATAATGGTAAAATTTTGCCTCATACAGCCACCTATTATAAGATTATCATCCTCCTAATATGTACATATAATTAACCCCTTAATATAAGATCCAGCTATCTCTAGTATGCTTTTTAATTGGTAGCCAGTTGGCAATACTCCTTTCCTTACACACGTAATACCTGATTAAATCTTATCTATCCAAATAACTTCCCTGTCATAATTGAGAATAATTATTTACACCCATTTTCAATGGTCCATAAAAGGCGAGCGAGAACCGGCCAATATATTCATTGGATCTAAAGTTTTCTCACCGACCAAAAGTTGGCCGGTTCTCTCTCCCTTTTATTTTAATATATTTATTTGTTAAATAAACTAAAAAAAGCTTTCTAATTTAATTAGTGGATCGGCGCGCCCCAGGAATGGGTTTCCACTCTTGGGGCCCAACTTCGACTACATAGTAACTCCCTCATCCATTTAATCTAAAAATTGTATCCATATATACCTTTTTATTAACACCCTTGTTCAATATTTTCTCCGCTTCAGAAATTACTTTACTAGAATTTTTAATAGCCGCATTCATCTCATTAGCAATTTTCTGCTCTACTACACGCCAATGTGCTTTCAGGCGTTTTATTCTTTGTTCGTCTTTATTTGTTGATTTTTTGGATTCGAATTTCGTTGTTTGTTTAGAAGATTGTTGTTTATCTTTTTCTGGTTGTTTTGATTGTTTGGATTTGTGGGGGTTTTCCTAAAATTGTAAAAATAATGACAGGTATAACTATAAAACATAAACTGGGTATGTATTTGAATCCCTCGTATACGTCACACTCAGGACCGGAGTGAGCCGACCTATAACTGAGAGCCTTGGATTTATAATGAGGATGCTATAGACCTTAATGGAAGGATCAGAACTTTTGAAAAAAAAAAGAAACCAGAATTTTGTTTAAGGTCTCTTATCTTTTATTTTATCCAGTATCAACCCCCCATTTACATGATGCGTAGACCCGTCTAATACAGGGTCCCTTGATGTCTGATTATAGCGTGTCTTTTTTTAATTTTCTTTAACACCTTACATCATCTTTGTTTGTCTTCACAAATTTATCTTCCCTAGGTCCAATTTCAACAGAATGCAATGATTCGACAGTACTCGAACTAGTTTCAGTTGTTGTTTTAGTTGTTGTTTCGATTTGTTCAGTTGTTCTTTTAAATTCTTAAAACATATTTTAAAAATTAAGTAAATCTTTAAAAGAGATTCTCTTGTAAGGATGATACACCTTAGAGCATTTAAATCGCTTAGGCGTGGGTTAAACGATCTAAAAGGTTAAAAGAGAAAGCATTAGTCGATGCCCCGGTAGATCAGTGTTAGAGCTCCTGTATATTGTGAGCGAAAACGCCTAGCAATATCTACGAGGAGGTCGCAGATTCGAATCCTGCCCGGTTGCTAAACTCTTGCTAAAAACTTTATCTCTTAATAAATTCAGATATTTGTCCCAGTACGTAAATCTCTCCTCATTTAACTATTTTCCAGAATCACCCTCTAATAAAGCCAACTAGATAATTTTCAACTAGAAAGTTTTCTAAGACACTGTCATAAATTTCTATGAGAACAGGTACTTAGAAAACATTTGGATCTGAGTTTTTTGAAAAACTCGTGAATCTTATTCCGTTGTCAAATTCTACAGCCAAATTTCCTTAAAGAGGGTCATCGGAATCTTACCCGCATTATCTGACAACTCCTTATCATTTATTGTTAGACCATCATTTGGGGTTGAACCCTCCGTAATGGTTGGTTCTGTATAAGTATTTTCTGTAGTTATATTCTGAGAAGGTATTATTTCTGTAGTTGTACTTTCTGCAGTTGTTGAAGTCTCTATGTTTGTATTTTCTGTAGTTTCCCTGTTAATAGATTCATTGGGAGGTTCATTATTTCCTTCAATCTTTTCATCTGTTGTATTTTCTGATCTGAATCAACAGAATTTTAAAAACATTATACTTTTACAGTACTAAAAATTTTTGGACTTGTAATTATTAGAACCGTGACGACATCTCATAGCTTACTATTGCATAAAAGCCTGTATTATCTCAATCTGGTTAGACATACTAGTCAGGCTAAACTCTGATCTCCTTAGCCTGTTCCACCCCCAAATTCCACCTTCGCCTACACCCCTAATTTCTACCTTGGATAAAGTGTTAGTCTTTTACTTGTAGACCACGGCATATCTCATACTGACACAAGACTATCCCAAATTATGGCTAATTGAGGATTTTGTCAATTTTTACTTATTCGTGTGGAACTAACAATAAATTATTTGCTTAAAAAGTAATAACAAATTTTGACTAAAAATGGAAAAAATGCAAAATCTTAATAATAAAATTAAAAATTTTAAAATCCACCTTGTAATATTATCAATAGAAGAAATATTTAACAAATTAGTAGTTTCATTTTCCCCTCCATTCTTAACATCCCCCTCTAGCCTTATTTCTTCATTATTATTTAATCTTTTTGGAGGATATATATTCCATTCATTAGGTATTATATTAATATTTGTTAATAATTTTGGACGTCTAAGTCTTTGACTGTTTGAAGATGAACGTAATAATGTGTGTAATTCTGTTAGCATTGATTTCCGGCTTTGGCCATCCTTTGGAAAAATTTTTTCTTTTAATTTTGAAATTTTTTGAAATTTTATACTTGTATTATTTCCTCGTTCTCTCCCTGCTGCTTTCTTCTTTGCCCTCTAATTTGTTTTAGCAATACTGACAGTTGTCGATTGCTTAGTCTTTTAAGTGGCTGTCGGAGAGATTCATGCAAATCGGACTGTTTAAATTTTAAATGGATTAATTTTGTGTTCATGCTTCTATTATATTTAGGGTTGCCAAAATGGCCCGACTCGGACCGAAAGATCGAGTCGGGCCTAGGATATTTGGCCCGAAAAAGACTCGTTTGACCCGACTCGATAAAAATGAGGCCCGAAAAAGACTCGTTTGACCCGACTCGATAAAAATGAAGCCCGAAAAAGACTCGTTTGACCCGACTCGATAAAAATGAAGTCCGAAAAAAATGACTCGGAAAAAACTGGCCCGACTCAAATGTGCTTCGATAAATATTTCTTTTTGGATCGATTTATTTTATTCAATAATTATTTTTTCTTTATTTTATTCTTATTTTTAAGCCTAAAATCTTTAATATTCGTGAGTATGCCGAAGGTTTCTGATGTTTGGAAACATTTCAATAAAATTCCATTGGAAAATAAAGTAGAATGTAAAAATTGTGGAAAAAAATACGCGTACAACACTGAAAAGTGTTCTACTAATTCATTGTTAAGATACTTGCGAGTGAAACACCATGTTATTTATAATAAAAGCAAAAATAAAGAGCAACAACAAACAAATCAAGATCAGGGGAAAAGCGAATCCAAAGATGATGTTGCTAAACAATCTATTTTAGATCATAAGAAAAAATTCAATAAAGACATAGAATCATTGTCTTCTGATCAGGATATGGAAGAAATTGACAATATTTCTTTAAATTCATTTGATGTTGATTCTTCTAGAGAAATATCAGGTTTATAAGAATTGGTTTATTATCTGAAAACTTTATAGATATTTGGAATATCGGCCAAAATCAGCCCGATTTTAATACCCGATGCGAAAGTGCAGATGATGTCAAACAAAAATTTATTGACGAATTCAAGGCTTTTTTTTATTTTATAATTTTTTAAAAACCATTTTTGTAAGTCATATCTCATTTTTAGATCGAGTTGGCGCATTATGAACAGATACCTAGACTTCGGAGGTTTGACGACATATTTCAATGGTTTCAGAAATTGGAGGGCTTTCCTAAATTGTGCAGTGTTGCTAAAATTCTTCATAGCATTCCAGCCACTAGTGTGTCATCAGAGAGATTATTTTCAACAGCGACTCGTCTTTATGCAGATAAATGTCGTAGTAGGTTATCTGCTGAAAGGGCGGAACAAATTTTGCTAATAAAATCATCACTAAAGAATTTGAAATTAGCACCAGAGGTTGATATTTCGATTAGTGATGAAGATGATGAAAAACAATGTTAATATTATTTATTTTTGATGACAAATAAGCAAAATTATTTTTGTTTTTTCGAATAAATCTTTTTGATAAAAAGCCCGAAAAAGTCTCGATGCCCGACTCGATAAAAATTATGCCCGAAAAAGACTCGTTTGACCCGACTCGATAAAAATGAGGCCCGAAAAAGACTCGTTTGACCCGACTCGATAAAAATGAAGCCCGAAAAAAACTCGTTTGACCCGACTCGATAAAAATGAAGCCCGAAAAAAATGACTCGACCGTCGGCCCGACTCGAAAACGGCAACCCTAATTATATTCATGCTGTGGAAAAATTCATTGGATGGGAGATGGAATAGAACAATCGTGGAAAGAGTCTAGACCGAAACACAACCGACAGTACCACCATCCAACCCAATGATGGGTTCATTTATGTTCTTTCGGAAAGTCTATAATGCTTCTATCGAATGTTCATTGACTTTAAAAGTTTCCTAATCAAATCCAAGGATTCTTAAATGCTCGAAAGGAAACATGAAGGATTTCTATTCAATTTGGCCGGGACATCCCGTATTTACATCGTCCTAGTATACAGGACTAGGCTCTGATATCAGTTTCAATTTTTATATTTCAATAAATTGAACTCCAGAAAATATTAATAATTTATTTACATTCGCATCTCGTTCGGGTACTTCATTATTATTGTAGTCATTTGAATGAGATAATTCTGGCTCTTCCCCGCTTCCCTCAAAATCTTCTAATGCTTGTGCTGGTTGAGGTCCTTAATATATTAATTTTTTATTAGACGTTTTTTGATTGTATGTATTAATTGGCATCAAAAACCCCATTCCCAATTCTTGAGTTCCCTAATCAACCCCAAGGGTTCTCCTAATCAACCCCTTATTTCCACTAAAAATAGTAATTTCCGTCAAACCCCAAATTAAATTTTAATGTAAATAAATCCACAAATCACTTTTCAACTCATTAAATTCTTCCTTTTCTCCTTTAAACACTAAAGGCTGTGTTTTCACCGCAAAAGCTTTAGCCTGCGCTAATGGTGTCCACGGCTGCGCACCTTTATAAATTAAGACAGGAGTGCTTCCAGCTGATAGTAAAAGTCTTCTTCTCATACTTGTGCTAATTAATCCATTAGGTTTTTGTAGTTGTTTTTGTTGTTCTTGTTCAGTTTCCGGTTGCGAATTAATTCATAAAAAAGAAAGATTTGAGAATAGAGTTAACATTTTCATATTGCCGGCTTCAGGTATCCGGGGTTTTCTTTCAAACTAATCCGGAATTGGACCTGCATGTTTAACTCAAGATCCGGAACTATTAAAAACGTATTTCAAAATCTGTTTTCAAACCGGACCTGGCCCGGACTCTCTTTTAAATACTTTTTAAATTATATATACCCATTAATTTTGTCTTTTAATATTTATATGTATATGTAGTCACTGGACAGAGACCTATGGAAGGGTTAAAAACAAACGATCATAAATTTCTTAAATCAAGTCGGATTTCGTTGGTTTTGGTGTCATTCAACTCAGCCTGCCAAGCTCTTTCGAATGAGCTATTATTTGTATATATCAATTTTTTGCCCCAAAATTCATCCCATGAAGTTGACCATTTCGAGCCCTATAACTAGGCCCATATATGAGTCTGCGGGCTAATTTTGGTATAATTTTATTCAGCTCGCCGAGCACTTTCGAATGACTTATGAATCGTCCATATCTGGATCCGACCCATAAATGCTCTTAGGCCGGGTGGGTCACTGGACGGAGAAAAGAGGATCCCTCAAACAAGATTTTGCCGACCGCAAGTGTTTATATGTATATTAAAAATTACTTGAAAACAGGTGTAGTATTAGTAATAAGCTTGTAGTTGTGCCTATTAACTTCATTTTAGGCACAATCTAAAAATTATGTTTATAAAATTTAAATTAAATTGATTTGTTTACAAAATGGGATTTATATTTATTTTTATTCATCTCGTTGATTCCCAGCGTGAAATAATCCAATAAATTAAAAAAATACAAAAAATAAAAACATGAAAAATTAGCACTAAAAATTAGTGCTCTGAGGGAGCTGTATACCTTGGAAATTTCCAGATTTCGCGAGAGGTATAGGAGTTTAGGTAAAATAAAATATTTTGTTTTTTCAAAACCTATTAAAGATCGCTCAACGTACTTAAATTAGATTCTTTAGATAGAATAGTCTGACACCTTAGTCTATTATTTTATGCATAGGTAAAATATTTACAGTGAATTATGAAGACAAGAGATGGGACGAGTCGCTGAAGCCAGCCGTTTTTAAATAGAAACCTAGCCCGGGATATAGTCCCGACTCATCCTGGTATAGACTAGTGAGATTAATAAAAAAGATTCGGTATTATAAGGAATAAAACGAATGAAAAACGCATCTTAGAAAATTAGACAGGAAGGATTTAATATACTTTAGAAACATTAAAAAAATTTTTTTATACTTCCGTTATTATTTAAAAAATACAAAAAAATTTTTTTGCTTAACAAAATTTTGTCTGTCAAAATAAATATTATGTAATGATAAAAAGGTACAGGCGGATGTTGTTGATTATTTTGCGTGTATACAAAACTTTATCGAGAAAAGAAAAATATTGAGGAAAGCGCGCAAATTTAGCTGATCGAAGACCCATTGAGATGCAAAATCTTTCTCCTTTTAGGAGGAAGAATTAATTTAAAAACAGAACCTAAGGGCAACTAACAACAACAAACAATAAGCAGCCTAACAACTTTAATTTTTTTTCTTTCTTTTTTCTTCCTTTCCCCCCATCCATTTTTACTTATTTTACACATCCCTACATTCAACCACACATCTCTTGTTGTGCTTTTATCTGTTGTTTCTCTCTCTCATTGAGAGGAGGAGGAAGAAGCAACGATTTAGGCAAGGGATGTCGCGGCTATTCTTCTCTTTATTTTTTTTTAATTTTTTTGGAAAGGGCAAAAGCTGGTTATTAATATATTCGTTCCAGAAAACGAGAGTTTATTAAAGAAATTTTTTTGTTATTTTTTTATTAGCATCAGTATCAAAAAGAAGCGCCTTTCGAGAAATCTATGCGCGACTTTCATTCAATCTTTTTTTAAAAGAATAATTAAGATAAGGGAAAATAAATGGGTTTTTAATAGCAGATGAAAAAAAAAATAAGAATTATTAAAATAAACTTGAATATAATTGGAATTTTATTTAAAAAATAAGAAGGGAGATTTTAAGAAAATGTGTCAGTAAATAAAATAAGCGTTATAAATCAGAATTTAATAAATAGAAGAGATTTTAATTGAAGAAAATAAAAATTAGAAATAATTAGGCCTTAAATAATTACTAAAATAAATCATTTTGAAATAATTTTCAAAATCGGAATTTATTAAAAATCAGAATTTTTATATTGAAAATCAGAATTATTTAATCAGAACATGAATATTTACTAGAAATAAGATTTAAAATCAGTATTTCCATTATTTTAAAAAATAAAAATCGAAAATCAGAATTTTGCAAATAATTTAGTGAATATGAATTTAATAAAAATAAATTTAAAAATTAGAATTTTTTAAAAATAATTTATAAAAACGGAATAACTGAAATCAATTTTCAAAATCAGAATTTAATGAGAATAAAACCTAAATCAGAATTTTTGGATAATAAACTTTAAATCTGAATTAAAATATAAAATTAAAATCAGAATTTTCTTATTTAAAATCAGAATTTAATAAAATAAACCTTGAAGTCAGAATTTATTAAATAATAAACTTTAAAATCAGAATTATTTAAAATTAAACTTAAAAATCAGAATTTTCTTCAAATAAACATGAATTCACTTAAATAAGCCTTAACAGAATTTAGGACAAAAAATCAGAATTTTAATATAATTTTTAAATCAGAATTATTTAAAAATATAATTATAATTATTCAGAACGCGTAATATTATAGCTTCTTCGCTAATAAAATTTCTGGCCGCTAATAAAGCAAAAAATGATTGATCAATCTGACCAATCCAACAGCGGAAGTGATGGACTTTGAGAAAAAATGTTAATTTTATTCTTAGCGAAAATATCAATTAAAAATAAATTTTTTCCTATTTTATGTTGATTTACTAGAACACCAAAACAACGAGAAATTTGCTATTTTTTATATAATATATTCTTGTTTTTTTTTGTTTATACTTCTCTTACACTTTTTCAACTTGTTCATCACCCAATATACTATAAATATTTTTCTTTTGTTTTCTCCTCAACATTAAAATTTTTTCAGCGATGCGCCAGCAAGGTTAACGAAGCTAATCGGCGACACAACTGGTTGGTCATCAAGTTGGTAGTTAAATTAAAAATATATAGAGGAAAGTGAGGGATTTTAAAGTGCCAAAAATTATTTTTATATTTTTTGAAATTTTAATAATTAAAAAATTGAAATCTAAAAGAAGAATTTAAAAAAGTTGTTATCTAAGTACTACATTTCAACAAATTAAAAATAATATTTTAAAATTTTAATATTCATATTTTGGAGCTGATCCATTGGGAGTAGAACAATCAAACTGAGGTTGCCGGCCCGACTCGATAGATCGAATTAGGCATCGAATTTTGGCCCGATAAAGACTCAAAAGGCCAGGTTCGATAAAAATGAAGCTCGAAAGAAATATCGGCTTAAAGCAAGGTCTAGAATCAGGTAATTGTCCACACTTGAAAACAATTCAAGGATCAAGGTTAAGTTTTTTTTAAAATCTCTCTCTATTGGATACAAATATCTACCAAGGAGAGGATCAGAGGCACTTCATTTACTGATAAGCACCATGATCTCTCCCCTCAATCCTAGTTATCCTCAAAATCCCATAATATCCTCCGTAATTCATCCAAGACCATGATATCCACGATTCCTTCCAAATCAAATCCTTATGACATAAATTCCTTCCCTTCAAATCCTTATGCGATCAATAAATTTTTTAAAATAATTTTGGCACGAAAAAGACTCGGTGACCGGGTGATAAAAATGAGGCCAGAACGTCGGCCCGATTAGAAAACGGCAACCCTATTGTTTTCTAAAACAGTTTCATAATTATAACACACACAATATTGTTTTACCAGTATATGTATTAAGATACTGAAAATTTTATTAAAATATATTCTCGACAATTTGCAATTTATTAATTTTATCATGATATTAAATTTATTTTTTCTTTAAACTTTTCTTTTATAATAGTTATTTGTTCCATGCTTTATTCTGTTCCATCATCTTAATTTTATTTTTTTAATTCTTCCATGGGGATTTATATTCTATATTTATAATTTATCCGTTTCCCAAAAAGGGATTTATTTACATATACATACGAGTTCTGGGCGATATATTCTAAATTGTAACTCTCATAGAATAAATCAAAGCCCTAATCTCTACCTCTCTTTTTATACTCTAACCTAGATATAAAGCTAACATATTTAGTTACCCTTCTGTGTTCTATCTGATTTTTTTAATACGGTAAGGCCCATCCTGTTCTATGCGGTGCCACCGAATGGGCTGTGCGCCTTTTTAAACACATATTTTTAACTCACTTATATTTTTATATGAAGGAGGATTTACTGTTACCTGGCCTTCAGCAAGTTCCAGAATCCTCTGTTGTACTTTTAACATACAACTTACTCGGTACTTCTTTTGTAACGTATTGTGTAGTACCCTTTTCTGGACATTCCTCTTTAGGTATGCATTTTTTATTTTCATCTCTCGCATATCCTTGTTTGCATTGACAGCTTGGCGGGTAACACATAGCTATGCAACCAACATTTCCATCATCCGAGCACGTAGGCTCGCAAGCAGAAGCACATGATAAGTATTCTTCTCCGTCATCACAGGGTGTGGCTGATTCTGAATTAATTTTAATTCTAGAATAACTCAAGATACAAGTAAAAATCTAGCTCGCTATCTATATGTCCGCAAAAGGACATGAAGATCAGGTTCTTCAATTTTAATTCTAGAATAATTCTGGATACAGTAATCAGAATAAAAAATAAATTAAAGTTAAGTTAAAATTTATTTCAATTTTTGAATTTATACTACCTTGAGCATAGGATTTCGTGAGGCATAAAGTCAATAAAATGCCGAAAGTGATTAAAGTATTTCGATGTTTCTAAATTAAATAAATTTTAAAAAAATTTTTATTGCAAATATTTTAAAAATATTTTTTTAAATATTTACCAGCATTTCAGCACAATAATTGAATAATTATAATATTATTTTTGCTTAATATAATTTAATAATAT